CTCTCTCTCTAAAAATGAATGCTGCAATGAAATATTGTGTTCATCTTGTATGTTTGTACTGTATAGCATTGTGGAATTCAAATAAAAAAAAAAAAAAAAAAAAAAAAAATGCCTTTTTAAAGAAAAGAAAGTGTCTTAATTATCAATAATTATATCAAGACCAGTATATGACGAAACTTTCTGCTGATTTTGATAATGAGTTGGCATCTCTCATTGTTATTAGAGCCATCATTAGTGACCGGCTTATAGGTGTCCTCAGTACTAATGATCCCCAACTCCATTCAAGAAGTGTATACATTAATTAATAATTTTGCTACTTTGGTTATTTTAGGGTTCAATATTGGGATCACAAGAAATAACAATGTTTTATGTACTCACAATCAGATACATTCACATGTATTATTATAGCATTGTGATTAAAATTTTCAAATGAAAAGTTTGTGCCCCTGACATCACATTGTCTATTCATTTTTATGTGCAACAAATCAAAATGTTCCTTAGATCAATCTTACCATGAAAACTATGTATTGCAGCAATTCACAAACAAGAGGCCCATGGGCCACATCACTCACCTGAGTACTGTAGCTTGGAAAAAAGCAGAAATCAGTTTATTTTTGAAAAGTTTAAACCCAAAAGTGGTCCCAACCAATCCTTAAAGGGGAGAGGGTATGATTTGAACAAATTTGACACTAACACTAACTAAGGATGCTTGCATATTTCTTTGACTACCTGTGGCTTTATTGCCCTTTAAATTTGAACTTACATTGTGGCCCCACCCTACCCTCAGGGGTCATGACTTGAATAAACTTGAATCTACGCTACCTGAGGATGCTTCCATATGAATATGACTAATACGACTAATCATGGCTTTGCCATTCTTGAAAAGATTTTTATAATTTTTCTACATATTTCTATGTTAAACTTGGCCCCGCCCTACCCCCAGGGGTCATGATTTGAACAAACTTGAATCTATGCTACCTAAGGATGCTTCCATATAAATATGACTAATCATGCCTTTGCCATTCTTGAGAAGATTTTTAAAAAATTTCCATATAAATTTCTACGTAAAACTTTGATCGGCCATTGTGGCCCCGCCCTACCCCCGGGGGGTCATGATTTGAACAAACATGAATCTACGCTACCTGAGGATGCTTCCAGATGAATATGATCATTCATGCCTTTGCTATTCTTGAGAAGAAGATTTGTAAAGAATTTCCCTATATATTTCTATGTAAGTGGCCCCCCCCCACCCCCCACCCCCGGGGATCATGATTTGAACAAACTTCACCTTTATTTCTAATAAATTTAGAAAAATGTCCTTTATGCCAATTTTGAACACTGTTTTAGTTTGTTTTGAACATATTTATAAATGACAATATGTCAAAGGGATTGGACATAAGTTCCAAAACCTTAGATAGTTTTAGTGCCAAAGGATTAAAAGTATTGAGTTTGAATTTTTAAAAGAGAGAATTCTGTAAGATCTGTTGTTCCAGTTGGCCTACTTAACTTAAAAAGTTAAGAAAAAGGGAATTCCTTAGTTTGAAGTACTGTGTCATGTAATACTATATACTGTAAATCACTACAGTATATAAATTAGTGCACACAAACTTTAGCAGTCTTCCTCATTAACTGTTCCGTGTACCCTGGTTATGATAATTTAGCTCATTTGGGGTTGCTGCCCAAATAAGTATGTTAGTTGGTTAGTTTTCAAAACACTATACCTTTTAAAATTAAAAAAAAAAAACCATCAGAGTCCAAAATCTAGTGTTTTATTACCCATTTCAAAGTTTTTGTTTCATTGTCATTACAAAATAACACTTCAAATTAAAACTTTTAATGACTGTAAAATCACCATGTTAAAATAAAATTGTCTATGTATTTTGTAAAAATTATAAAAACTGTGTTATTTCTTTAATAATTATCAGTGATTATACAATTATTGATTAGTTTTAATTTAGAAAAGTGAAATATAATCTTTGGTGATTAAAATTCCCATGTTTTTAACATAATTAGAAGAAAAGCTGTATGTCCGATATTTATTGGAAGTTATTTTTCGATAGAATATGATTCTTGAATATTGATACGTATCGCTATATCGATATATCCCTAGAATATTCCTGTGTTAATTATTTTTAAAAAAAATTTTCACCCCCCCCCCTAGTGAATTTTTGCAATTTTTTATCCCTGCCACTCAAAGATACCTTAGTTATGACAAGTTTGGTTGAAACTGGCCTTGTTGTTCTTCAAGAGAAGTAGAAGTTGAAAATGTGAAAAGTTTACAGATGGACAGAAGGACAGCTGCCAGACAAAATCATGTGAGCTGAAGAAAATAAGGATTTTGTAATCACATTCTTTTATTAAAAAATTCAATATATTAATGCTCTTCTGCATGTAGGCTTCATGTATTCCTATGAAATTGAATGCTTCCATCCTTGCTGCTGCCATTCATTTTGACAAGAATTCCGGTTTTCCTGTGATTTTTTCTTCATATAGTCAACCTCCAGACAATTCAACTTACAGTCTGAATTGAAACAAAAGTCTTGAGAAAACAAAATTCAATAAAGTTCCTCTACCCATTTATCTTTTTGTGATTGCTTCATTTTTATTTTTAATATATCATTTCTTTCTTTTTCAATTTTTATAATTCCATTTTTAAAGAAAAAATCTATATCTATATTTCTCCTTCATTTATACAAGAACTGGTGATTTTTATTGCACAATGATCGTCTCTAATCCTTACAAATTTAAGTACCTTATTTAACCTAATTGATCTATAAGATGCACAGGTCCCAAACTATTAATTCTAGGACAAATTAAACAGAATCAATGTTGTAACTGACAAATGAAGAAACCAAGGCCAGCAATAACGATGACTGACACCAATGAAGAAAACATATTGAAAATATGGTTGGCAGATTTCACCGACTAGATAAACAGCTTACAAGCCTCCTCATAAGCATGAGCATGGCATTGTCTCTTGTAGCTGGTTAAATGAGGGGGTAATAAATGGGGAAAATATAAAAACTGAAAAGAATTTAAAAGTTAATATTGATGAACTAAAACTGCAGCTATTCCCCATTAATTGTTCAATAGGTTACTGATGACTTTTGAGTTGGGGGGGGGGGGGGGGGGGCTTTTTGGCAAAGATCGACATAATAAAGGAATTGAAAATTGGAGCTTAACTTTTTCTTTCTTGGTTAAGCCCCCCACTTTCAATTTGCTTCCAATGCCTTTGCATCATCAAGGAGGTGTACATCTACAGAGGCATAATAATGCAAGTTGACAGAAGTCATTCTTTGCTTTTCTTGAGAAGATGGTTTAAAATGTTGCTAATGTTTCCTACATATTCATTGGTTACACAGGACTGAATGTCCATGGTCCAAAAAACTTTTGCATAGACTGAAGGCAACTTTGAAATAAGATTCAACTCCTCTGACCCAGTGGTTCTTGAGGACAATTATCTTCAAAGAATTTTCTCTTTAATATTCCCATTTCACACTATGATTGCCCATTGTTACCCTACCCTTCAGCTTGGGGTCATGATTTAAACAAACTTGAAACCTGTAATAAAACTTAAGCTTATATTCATTCTTTTGGCCAATTGGTTCTTGAGAAAATTTTTAAAAGATGCTGTTAAATATTCACCAATTCTTATTGATCTCCACTGGAATAAGGATGTGGTCATTCTTTAATTTAAAAACAGTTTACCGGTAGTAATACTGTAGTTTTTGTTTTTTTTTCTTGAAGAAAATGATGACTGTAGAGCAGCTTTTTACTAATATTTACATACTCTTATTTATAAGGATACTGAATTTTTATTATCATCTGTATATGGATTAGTGTATCCTTCCTTGTTGCTTATAGATTGTTAAATTAATTTCTATAGCTAACGATTAAATTTTGCCCCGCTATAATTATGCCACATGGCACTTGAGTAAATCAGACACTCCTGTATATATATTTTTTATTTGGATTCCACACAAGTTCCTTAAAACAGACACAATACATAGACTTGCCTTTCCTGAGATATGCGCGATATACATGAACAGACTTTCGTAGATAGAGACTGGAAATAACAGTTCACACAATATATACGTAAAATTAAATGCAAAACATTTTACCAGAAATTTTCTTACAAGCAAAATATGTTTCCATTTAATAAAACTTGAGTAAAAATTATTTTTCCTGGAAATAAAATGTTAGTTCACTATGAGGAATTACATTAAATGCCCCCAAACTTCTGAGAAGAACTTTATTACATAATTAATGCATTCCAAAGTACTGTAAACCAACTTTTATTCGCATGAGAGAAATATTTGCAGGTTTTGCGACCTACTTTAAGTCGCAAATATTAATAGTTGCAAACCATTTATAATTGAGCTATGCTATGTGAATATCTGCAGTTAAAAGCTTCTTCAGTACGAGTTTAAACTTTAACTAGAGTACAAGCACATTGAGCAGCAACAAGATATCCTCTTCTACTTGAATGAAAAAAAAAAAAACATCCATTCATTAAATTTGTCATAAAAAAGCCATAAAGAACAAAAAAATTAATTTCGAACAAAAAAAAATTTCTGATATTAGCATAATGACATGCTCTTCTCCGTCAAACTTATATAAATCTAATTTGTCTTCAAATACCCTTGTCCTTAGCAAGCCTTTCGAAAGATCACTGATCTGAATTTTTTTCTTACAAGACAGAGTTAGATTAGATTTAATGTGACAAGGACAGATTTTTTCCTGGTGATCGTCAATGATAAAGAGCAGCATAGGTTATTGGTCTAATAGGGGCAAATCAATATCCCTAATTAACACTGGGGCTCTCTCTACAAGTGTCTGAGGTGTCACACAAAGTGTTGTTTTAGATCCTTGGTTTAGGAGTATATTTTTGAGACCAGTAAAAGCAACGGAGTGCCAATAATCAGTTTATACCACGTCTCATATTAGTATCAAATCAAGACCGCAGAAATGTCAAGAAACATAAAGTAATCACTGCAATGTATTCTTAACACAATGTACTCCCTGGATAATATGTTTCACATCAAAGTAATGTTATTTACTCAGCTTTTTACTGATATGACTGAAAACAACCATGATCCCAAAAAATATGTTGCATACAATTGAATTAATGTCTATGTTTTGATGTAAGTTCTTCTTTTGTACAATGGCTTTTCTCACATAAACTTGTAGAAAGGACCAAAATATTGTGATGCCTTGGGGATTTTCACAAATTAGGTTTTAAAAAGTGGAGGTTGTATGAAAAATAGAATGGTAAAAACAGAAAAATAAGGAAGTTTTAAAAGTTAGTCAAGTCACTCATTCGGAGGAAAATGGACACGTGTTGAGAAAGAGGACAGAGAATGGCTGCTGCCTTGTGGTTTGTAATGATTTGATCACAGAACGGAGGATCAATCTCAGTTTGGTAAAAGGCAAGTCTTACTTTGCATTTGGCACTTGATTAAGGAATGATTCCAGAACAGTTGAAAAATCTGCCAATCCATCACTGACCAGCTCCACCAGGGCTGTACAAATCGCCTTGGCAACCACGGTCTCCATAGCACCACATTTTTCCTCCAACAGTTTGTATGCTGCATTCTTTTTTAAAGTCAAAAGTACATTCCTTCACTTTCAATATTCTTTGAGAGGACTTTAGTTCATATTTGCATATTTTCTATACATAATGCTTAGGTCAAAATTTCATTTTCAATTAATAGATAGATCACTTGGCATTTAACCAAGTCCTGCACTAGTTTGTAGAGAATATTCCTCAGGATGGGAAGTAAATTCTGTAATAACATTGGTTTATCATTATTATAGTGAGATTTTGCTATATTTTCAGCTGTGGTTATCCTCTTTAAGATGCCACTTCTACAGATAAGTAATTCTTTTCTTGACAATGAAATCTGAAGTTCAAAAAATTAGTTTTATCCAGAAAAGAAATATCATACTTGTGTGGGATTACCTGTAGAAGTGATATCTTATATCTTAGATCTTTTGTTTTATTTATTGCTTGTCTAAATTGCATAAAATTTTCTATTTTACTTTGTTCTGTAAAGTAATTAAGCTCAAAAAGCCATAAAAATTACTACTAGTACTGGTATATACATTTTGAGCAAAGATGAACATTTGAAACCAGGAGCCATAGAGAAATAAGCACCCCTTGTTGACATATCACTGTAGTGCAAGTTTTCAAAATACTGTCAAGTAGTGTAACAACTTCCGATTTTACCTTTACTGATGAGTTTGTCAGTCTGTTTTCCCTGGACAAGTTCTTTCTAACCTCTTCACATAGCTTATTTACAGCCTGTAATTAAAACAAATTACAATTACTTATTACTATTAAATTATTCATCATCAAAAATATACCTCACAATCACTAGAAAATATTTCTTAGCATTGTCATTTTTTCTTACATCACCTTTAGTTAATGTTTGTTTTGAAAATGCTGCAAATTTTGTTCACAACTTGAAAAATATTTTTTTATAACTGCTATTTTAATGAATTAATAGTTTGTATTTGTGATCACTATCTATACTATAAATGGATCTGAGTTACCTATACACCAAACAGAGAATCTCCAAAAATGCTTCCTGCAGCTGTGTACAAACCTAAGGTCAGAGGTCGGAGTAAGTCTGACAAAGTTGCAACAAATCAGATACATGTAATTATGGAACCCGGATAGGGCCATGTTATTGAACCATCGAGGTTTAGGTCGATAGTGTGATGGCACGATAATGCAATGACGAGGAAGCGATGGTGCAATAATGATGAAGCGATGCTACAATAAAGCGATGATGCCATGGCGTGACAATACGATGAAGATGGTGCGATAGTATGATGGTGTGATGACAACGATAGTGCAATGATGATGGCGTGATGGTACGATGATGATATTCACTATTGCTCCGTCCTGCTATCGCTCCAACGTCATCACATTGTTGCGAGCTCCATCATCATTACACTATCGCTTCATCATTATCATGCCATCATATCATGGCCATGGCCCTATTACTTGATGCTAGATGGTGCAATAGTAAACTGCATGGCCTTATCTGGATTCCATAGATCTTCAAAACTAACCATTCAAGAAAAACAATTTCACTCTCAGAAATTAATTAAAGTCAGATTTTTTTTTAATGGATAGTTACAAAGTAAAGTTATAGGAAATATTTTTTATCTCAGAATTATAGGCAAGAATTTTATTTATTTACTCATTCACTTATCTTTTTAAGTTTCATTTTTGTTTTGAATTATAGGCAGTTCTATGTCATCAATTTTATAAATCAAATCATATATCTTTTGCCTGAAGATAATCTCTTTTATCTTCTATTTTATGACTTCCTGTAAAAGCAATTATTTTATGGTGACTTTTAATCCAAGTGTTTCATGTTGCATGGTCATACAACATATCATTTAAGCCCAAACAACTGCTGAATATCACGGCTACACAGTGCAGTCTCCCTGTAAGATTTTAATTATGGGTCCTATATCAAGTATAACATGTCAGCCAGACAGCCCAATATTTCCTGTAAAAACAATACTGAAGAGAGAGAGAGAAAAAATAGCAGTAGCTAGATTTGTGATGTAGCAAAAATAATAACTATATAAAAGTTCCAAAGATATTTCACATGTATCATAAGGTCATGACATAACATCTATAATTTCTGGCAAAGTTTATTGAAATACAGAATAGTTCTGGGGTTTACTTAAGATTTACATGTAATGAAGCAATTTTTGACATTTTTGAAGAAAATCTTAAATAATTCTTTTTTCCTCTCTCATTAACAACTAAGTCTTTATCCATGCCCCTTTATTTCCTTTTACCCAGGTGGGCAATTTAAAGCACCCACCATAATTTTTCAAACATAAAATTTTCAGGGCAAATTTTAACCAGAAGTCTCTGTCGAGACTGAAGCTCTACTGGTTTGAACTTATAGCAAAGGAAAAGAAAAGTACTTAAGCAGCTGGGATTTGAAATTTTACAACAGCAATAAATAGAATAATGATCGTTGATAAAGTCTCTTTATGTTCTTAGTGTAGTCTACTTGTGTGCCAAGTTATATTGAAATCAGACCAAAACTGTAGGAGGAGTAGCATTTTGAAACAATTTTACAGTCATTTCTATTTTTAGTAACCATAGCAACACCGTTCATCAAAATTAAAATTCGATACACAGAATTATGTATCTTAGTGTATTCTACTTGTGTGCCAAGTTATACTGAAATCAGACCAAAACTGTAGGAGGAATAGCATTTTGAAACAATTTTACAGATATTTCTATTTTTAGTAACCACGGCAACACCGTTCATCGAAATCAAAAACCAATACACAGAATTATGTATCTTAGTGTATTCTACTTGTGTGCCAAGTTATACTGAAATCAGACCAAAACTGTAGGAGGAGTAGCATTTTGAAAGAATTTCACAGAAATTTCTATTTTTAGTAACCATGGCAACACCGTTCATCGAAATCAAAAACCAATATACAGATTTATGTATCTTAGTGTATTCTACTTGTGTGCCAAGTTATACTGAAATCAGACCAAAACTGTAGGAGGAGTAGCATTTTGAAAGAATTTCACAGAAATTTCTATTTTTAGTAACCACGGCAACAACGTTCATCGAAATCAAAAACCAATACACAGAATTATGTATCTTAGTGTATTCTACTTGTGTGCCAAGTTATACTGAAATCAGACCAAAACTGTAGGAGGAGTAGCATTTTGAAAGAATTTCACAGAAATTTCTATTTTTAGTAACCACGGCAACACCGTTCATCGAAATCAAAAACCGATACACAGAATTATGTATCTTAGTGTAGTCTACTTGTGTGCCAAGTTATACTGAAATCAGACCAAAACTGTAGGAGGAGTAGCATTTTGAAAGAATTTCAAAGAAATTTCCAATTTTTAGTAACCACGGCAACACCGTTCATCGAAATCAAAAACCGATAAACAGAATTATGTATCTTAGTGTATTCTACTTGTGTGCCAAGTTATACTGAAATCAGACCAAAACTGTAGGAGGAGTAGCATTTTGAAAGAATTTCACAGAAATTTCTATTTTTAGTAACCACGGCAACACCGTTCATCGAAATCAAAAATACACAGAATTATGTATCTTAGTGTAGTCTACTTGTGTGCCAAGTTATATTGAAATTAGACCAAAACTGTAGGAGGAGTAGCATTTTGAAAGAATTTCAAAGAAATTTCTATTTTTAGTAACCACGGCAACACCGTTCATCGAAATCAAAAACCGATACACAGAATTATGTATCTTAGTGTATTCTACTTGTGTGCCAAGTTATACTGAAATCAGACCAAAACTGTAGGAGGAGTAGCATTTTGAAAGAATTTCACAGAAATTTCTATTTTTAGTAACCACGGCAACAACGTTCATCGAAATCAAAAACCGATACACAGAATTATGTATCTTAGTGTAGTCTACTTGTGTGCCAAGTTATATTGAAATTAGACCAAAACTGTAGGAGGAGTAGCATTTTGAAAAATTGTTTACAGACAGACGGACAGCTAGACAGACAGACGGACAGACGGACGGACGCCGGACGCATTACTATCGCATAAGCTCTTCTGGTCTCTGACCAGTAGAGCTAAAAAGTGGCAAAATTGTTTGCAAGTGAGAAATGGCAAAAATAAATAACCCAGCTAGTACAAAGTTTTTATCTTTTTTTAAAAATATATATTATATGCATGTACTGACCACAATTAGGTATACATGAAGAGAAATAACCAGTAAAGAAATTCTCAGATCTTCAAATCCTGGTCCTAATTGAAGACCTGATATCCTGGGATGGTTAAAACTTAATATCTACTGATGGTACTCACATGGAGTAAGATAAAGGCATTAACTTTAATGAGACATTTCTTCAGATTTTATGATGCACAAATGAATGTAATAATCAGAGGAGCTACTGCTGTAGCAAGCGTATCTAACCATATAAGTGCACCTATATAAGACCCCCTAGTGTTGCTGCGCACTGCCTGATATTGTTTTCAATGAAAGAGCAGCATTCACGTCAACAAGAAACATCAAATAGAATTCTGCCTCCTGCTGCCTAAGTCAAGAGAAAATCCGCAGGACTTTATTTGTTACTGCTTACTTTGCTTGTCTCATTTTGAGTCATCAATACAAGTGTGATAATTTTTCATTTTGTAGCAGAGATATTGTTGACTTGGACAATAGATTATTATATTTTTATTAACAAATTTACATCAACTAGAAGTCTCTAATGAGACTTAGCTAAGAATAGTCTTGGCAATAAATGCAGACATTTCAAGTTAAAAGGACAGGAAAAAACTTGTTAAAATACATTTTTTAAATTACTTAGAAATATTTTAGTTTTTCCCTGTTATGTGTAAATCCTATTTGCTCTCTGTTCAATATGACATTTAATTAACTGTGTCTGGGTGATTGATTTAATAATTGTAGGTAGCCTCAAAACTCCAGTAAGGCACATAGCATCAGTGGGGGGGGGGGGGGGGGGGGGGGTTGTGGAAATTAAAAAAAAGGTTTGCAATGGTTGCAAATCCCAAACCAAATTGAAACAAGATGTGTTTGTGAAACACTATGTGCCAGCAGCAACACATTTTAGAAAGCTTTTTTAGCATATAGATCACAGTCAAGGTCACAAGGTCATTGACCTTAGTGCCATTTGAAAAAACTGAATTAGTGGAGAATGCATATCAAATATGAAGTCTCTACCTCTTATGGTTCAAAAGTTATGGCAAAGGTTCAAAAAAGATTATTTTTAGCATATAGGTCACAGTCAAGGTCACAAAGTCATTGACCTTAGTGAAATTTGAAAAAACTGAATTAGTGGAGAATGCATACCAAATATCAAGTCTCTATCTCATATGGTTCAAAAATTAAGGCGAAAGTTCAAAATAACTAATTTTAGCATATTGGTCACAGTCAAGGTCACAAGGTCATTGACCTTAGTGTCATTTGAAGGAGCTTAATTAGTGATGTAAGCATACCAAATAGGACGATTTCCACCTTAGTTTGGACTTTCGGTAAGGCGTGTCATTCACTACGTTAATGTAATTAGCGTCTATCAAATTGCGAATAGATTCTCATTGGTTAAGAAATTAATAACATCAGGAACTTTAAATTGTTGTTGACAACGATGAGAGGACTTAAGCTCCACCTCTTTGCCGGAGGAGACAATGTTATTGATTATTCGATACACTAACTGGCATTTGCCTGAATTTCTATCCCATGTATATTTCAACAGTGGAGGAAAGCTGTGTAATTTCAGAAGCTAATTATGTAACGCCTAGAATGC